AAGTGTATGTATCAGCGCAGCTGGATCCATATAAGAACTTATGCTAGCCTGGCCATGTAGGCAAAAGTCATATTTCTAAGTGACATGTTTTATAAAGCCAGTCTTCACTGTGTAGCAGTAGCATCTAGGATAGTAAAACTGAGAACAAGTTGTTCATCACCAGCTAGATCACATGCTTTTCGTTCAGAAGGCTGTTTAGGTAGCAAGGGGTGATATACCCTTCTGGCTTGATCCCCTTGAACCTGCAGGTTGCTGCTGTCATTGTGCTCTACAGCTTCCCAGTCCTTCTCCACGGTCACCTTTCTGAAATAGGTGGATTTTCAGCTTGCCATCAGAGTTTATGCACAAAGTTGGTGTTGTGGTATTGCCAGTCAGACCTGTTGCTGAGAGATGCCAAAGTAAAAGGTCACTTCATTTGCTATTTTCTTTTGTCCATATGCCCTGCAAGGCAGGATCAGGATTTAGCCTTAAAAATAAGTTCGAAGTGACCTTGTTCTAGAATGCTCTTTCATACGGGAATGGATCAAACCAGATTCGGTCTCTTACTTTACCTCATATTGTGTGGAGTTAACTTTTCTTTCTTCCCATTGGGAACAAGCTAAAAGGATCCCATATCACCTGTGTAGAATGCCTAATTAATTTAATGACGAAAGCTACACAGCACTATGTTTAGGGTGAGAACAAGAGGCTTGCATAGATGAGACTGGGAACGCGCACACCTTATGGTTAAAGATGGAGCAGTCCTTTAAGGGCAGGCATACAGTGTTAGTTTAAGTACTCAAAGTGATATTGTATAAGTGGGAGGGCAAAGGGCTATCAAGTTCTCTTACTTTGTCTTTGGATATACAATATAGTACCTGGATACATCCTCGAAACTTATAATTAAAGGTCTCTGCAGAATGTATGAAGGTTCTGCTTGAGCTTCCTGCATAATTCTCAGTGAAAGGAGAGGAAAAATTCCTTTGAAAATACATGAGGCGATGAATCTGTCCTCTCTGTGTGCTAGAGCTCCAGCAGAGCTGCCGAGGCCTGATGTCGTTGACGGGATGTAATACCTGAAGTACAGCATGATCAAATAAAATATGCAGAAACCAAGCACAGCCTTAGGCTCATTTCATTTTAAGCAAACAAATAAAAAACTGTAAGGGCTGATTTGGCAGTTGGAAACGGCACGGTGAAAACAGCATAAAGAAAGCCAACCTTAGACTCAGGAATTTGAGGTACCCAGAAGTAACTTCTGTGGCAGCAACAGGGCATGGATATCATTTGGTCCAAGCTTATGGACCACCTTCTGTGGTGGCCTTTATGTTTTTGAGGCTGTGGAGCATGTTATCCAGAACTGTCTGTTGAGGCTATGCTCTTTCAAATCTATTGGTATGGGTGGACCTGGGTGCCTGTAAAGAAGCTCTGTTGCATCTGTTAGGGCTGCTTGCAGGTGTGGGATTACTGTGTGCCTATGTTCATCCCTTGTGAAGAAGGCAGGCATAAATGAGTCATTTGCACCTTCCAGAACATCCCTAACTGTAACTGTGAACTGATCTCCAACATTGGTGCTGTACCAGCAGATGCAGTCTCTCTGGCATTTTTGAGCTCAGAAGGGAAGCACATGCTTCTGGTGGACTCCTTGTGATCCCTTGCTGTCTTCTGTGTTTTTCTCCTTTGTGTGTGCTTGCCATCCAGCAAGCAAATGCAGAAGGTACAGTTGGGCCTGTGGTGGTGAGCAAAAAGTGTACCTTTGCCATATGCAAACTGGTCTTATGGTTTGGGCTGTGTCGTGTCCCCTTCCCCCCGTCCCCCCCCTCCAAATTTGTGGCTTAAAATAATTGCCCCAGTCTTGTAGTTCCTTTGCTCTGATGATCTTTCTTATCCACCAACTTTTCTGGACCAGAATTTTGTCTTTCATCTTCAACAGAAACTGGATAGATTAATTAACATCTCAAAACAAATAGGCTGCTTTTATTTTTTTTTTTTCCACCTAAGTCAGTTGCTTGAAGCTTTTCCAGGAGCAGAACCTCCTCCAGTTATTACATCTTTTTATGCTGATCAAGGTTTCCCATCTTTGTGTAGCAGGATGCAGAGCTGGGAATAGAAGATTGTTCCCATCAATTTCTGTTTGATCTTCTCTTTACCACACTGCCGTTAAAAGTCTTCCGCTATCCCTGCTGTTGGCTACAGTATAAAATCACTTGCTGCTCACAGCGCTCTGCTGCTCTTTCCTAGTTTTTCTGCATCTCTTTTTCTAGAAGCTCAGCAATGGGTAGAGTTGGTTCAGCCCAGGAAGTTGCTGGGCTGGAGAACTAGAGTAAACACTTTAACCTACAAGGACACAGAGGACGTTTGTTTCCAAGCTTTTCATTTAGTCTGTCTCTACCCAAGTAGATCGTAAAGGACAAAACATAACAACACACACTGTTCCTGTACAGATTTTTTTTTTTTCCTGGAGCACAGCAACAGGCATTAGCCTAGGGAAGGCTGAGGAAAAAAGAGGACAAGCTGCTGCGAGCTGCCACAGTCCCCCATTACAGTCGCTGGCCCTCAGGATATTCTGATGTCTCAGTAGTCAAAGGTCAGCACACTGTCCTGTCATCTTGGTACAGGTGTTTTAGTGAGACTCTGAGCTTTCATGATTAAATAAGGCAGCCCTCCCAAATCTACATTTTCTGACCTGCTGGCTGTGTAAGAAGTGGTAAAACATGTTTTTGTGGTACCAAAGGACTTCAAAACTGCTGGGTATTTTTAAATCGCATGCTGCTGATCCTCTTTCACCAAGTGAAATAGTAGCACTTCCCACTTTGTAGACAATGGGAGTCTTATCACTGCTGCGTTAAAAGCAGAGTAATACCAAAGCTAAGCTGTTTTGAAAAACCCTTCTTGAGCTCCCAAGCTTTAATCTCCTGATCTTGCAGGTAATGCCCCATACATCCCTTCAGACACTCTCTTGCTTTAAAAGAAGTGATTCTTTTGAGTAAGCTTGTGCCTTAAATGTGAAGTGATGTGGGGCTGAACGAGGAGGGCTTACATGGACTCGGAAGTCACCTTTTCATTTTTTTCACTATATTGTCATAGTAACAACAATCCGCCCTTCGTGTAGTCAGTCAAAAATGATGACTATGTGCTAGCTATACTTTGCAGAGAAGGATGTCGCGTTGTTTATCTGGAAGGATGACAAGGCATGAGAAGTAATCACAGTGACTTGAAAATCCAAAAGTGTGATTTTGTGCATGGTGCCATTTCTGGTTTGCTTTTCACTATGTACCAGTGGCAGGAAAAAAGACATAATTAGAGCCATAAAGCATGGACTTCCAGTCCCTTGAGAAACACAGCAACTCCTTGTAGAGTTTCAGTTGACATGGTGATATTTAAAAGCAGCAATATAGGATCTCGGAAGCCATGGTAACTCTCACTGTACAGAGATACTGTAATGTAAAGCACCCTGCGGTAGCTCGTTGACAACAGGGCTCGAATCTACAGTCTTTGGCTATAAAAACTACTGGTTCAGTAGCGAAAATAATTGTTCTGTTATGCAGGCAGATGCATCAGCCTCTACATATTGCCTAGTACAGGCAGGCTCCCCTTTGAATGGGGACAGTATGTGTTACACCTCTGAAGCAGCTATAGATTGCTCCCATCCCAGGGCTGGAGAAGTAGTAGGCTTTGGTCAGTCTTGCTGCTGATCTGCAGCTGATCTCCTGCAAATATCACCAGTTTCTTTTTCTCACCACCAAGTCCCCAGAGCCCTTAGGCAAGGCTTTTGAACGGGATGTCAGCTCTGTGAGCTCTTGGAGAAACCGAGATAATGGAGAAGTTCGTGGTGGTATAGGAGCTGCCCTGCTGGGAAGCACTTGTGATGTGAAAGGCTGTCAGGGGCAGACGACATTAGCTACCTGACTGCGTGTTTCTGTTCACATGAGAATTACCCATATTGCCCAGTGCTGCCCTTCTGCAGAGCTGCTATCACAGGCCTACCAGCTACGTCTTGTGGAGGAAAGCGGTCTGCAAGGCAATGCATCAGGGTGCAAATCTGGAGTCTCCTGCACTCTATGCCAAGCTCCTCTAGAGGCTTACAGTGTTGTGTGGCTTTCTGCTCTCTGCTTGGGTCAGGATTGTACCCTGGCTCCACTGAAATGGGCCAGGCTTTCAGCCAGAGAGGTTTGCAGCAGGGATTCTGTCTCAGAGTGCTATGGAAAAATTTACTGGGGCCCCGATCTTGCTTGGAGATTCTAGATGCTATAGCAATATAAAGGTTAGTAATAATAACTCATTACAGACAGAGTAGCAAAGCTGTTCCCACGAAAGGTCCTAGAAGAAATCCTCTCGGAGGTGTATTTGACTGCCTCTACATACCTCTCCCTAGTGCAGAGCTGTACTTTCACACCAGTTTCTGGCAGACTTGAGCAATCAGTAAATATTTTTGGGCCCTTAAAGCCACAACTGCCAGGCTGTGCTGAGACTTCACAGATGTCCTTCTGTAGCCTGAGAGAAAACTGCATTGTCTCACTTGTGGTGTTTCCCCTGTCTTGGGAAAGCTGGCTTTTGTTTTCCAGACAGTATTCAAATGAAGCTGAGTGGCATTAGTGGGTTTTTTTGTCACTTTTTCTCATGAATGAATAAATGCAGTAATTTCAGATGTTAGGGCTTATACCAGTCTGAAGAAATGACGACAACAATAAAAACATCAATAGTTTCCCAAGTTTAGAGAGAAAAGACAGCTTAGTATTACTGCATGCTTTTTTCTGTTTACTTGTTTGTTTTGGACATAACAAAAAATGGTTAGATGTTCCCAACAAATGTGAATCAACCTCTGAAGTTTTTCCACACCTATAGTGGTGGTTGAGTTCATACTGGTGATCCAGTGACTGAAGAGATTCATGCTGTAAAACTCATAGGGGATTTTTTGGCCTTTTTTGGTCTCTTAAAGTGCATATTTTACTGTGCAGACAATCTGTATTTGTGTGCTGTTGTCATGGTTGCATAGGTATGGACTTTCCCATTCTGGAAGACAGAGAGGAAAGTTAACAGCATGTCACTGAGCAGGTATTACACAGGGACACATGCCCGCTAACGCAGCAGGATCCCGTTCTTCCTCTTCTCTTTTCTCTTCCCCAGCCCCTTTTCCTCCAGTTCTGCACTCTCATTTTAATCTGTTGCACATTCCCTGTGGGGAGCTCCTAGGCATTTACCACTGACCTAAGTGTTGATATCAGTAAGAGAGTTATCATTGAGATAAACAGAAGAGCCAGACCAGTGCATGGAGCTTTTGACAATCCACCTTGCATCTCCCCATTCCATTTCAGTATAAATCTGTACATGGCTTTCCATTTTTTCCTCCTTGCACCATTTCTTACCAATCTCCTTTTCCTCTGCAATATTTATCTCTCTGAATCTCTATCTTTTCTCTTCTGCTTCCCAGGGCTCTTTACTGATTTCTTTCTTTCATTAAGTTCATGTATGCTTTTTGGGGGGAGATTTGGTCAGGAAGCACAGGCTAGGTCAGAAGAAGAAGGGGAAGAATCAGAGGAACTGTGAAGGTCCTAGGCTTGATACAGAATGTAAAACTTACACATCCTTTGAAAGTTTCGGCCTAATATCTGTAAACCATAACCCACAGTAAAAAGCTGTGAAATAGTATCTCTTTGTCACAAGATCGACAGACCTGGAACAAGATCATTAAGTTGCACCCTGAAGAAATTGGCAGACATTGAGATAAGGGGAACTAAGAACATCAGCACCCAAGATAGGTGCAGAAGAGCTAATTAAAACCGCACATATCACAATAGGCTGCCACAAACTGAGCAGTGAGCTAACTCATGACCATACATGGAAGAAAGGCTCAGAGTTCATGGAGAGGACACTGAGGGACCCCTCTACAATGACCACTGGGGACCCCCAAAGACCACTGACTCAAATCACAGAGCATGCGTGATTGGGAGGAGAATGCATAAATGAATTCCAGGAACTCACTGTCATAAGACTGCCTTTTCCAGGAAACATGATGAATATATATATCTTTATTCTATATAAACTGTATGCTTTTGTTTATGCGGCATGCATGTTAGGTGGAAATATCGCCCGTGCATCTGGTGCACTGTGACTAAAGAATGCCTGCTTTCTAAAACTTCAAGATGAGTCTTAGAGAGTTTTTCACAAGCCTTAATTTTCAGTGTCAGGCTGAACCTAGACCTCTAGAGCTGCAGATACCACTTCTGTCCTTGTGATCCTGGATGGTCTTGAGCAAACAGCTGAGGGTCAGAGAACCAGCAGACTGCTCTGTCACCATCTATAAATCAGTGACACCATGTAGCGGGGCACTTGGTGAGTAACAGGGCTGCCAATGATTTCTCTGTCTGGACCCTTTAGGCATTTTTGTTTTGGCTCTTTGTAACAAAATAAGTGTGACTATAGCAGGACCTAGGAAATGTATAGTGTCCTGTGTTGATATGGGTAAGGTAGCCAGTGAAGACGCACCAGCAAGGAAACTAGCAGCCAGGGTACAAACGCTTTCAGCGAGATGCGTGTGTATTTTGGTGACTAAGGCAGCTGTCCCGGTGTGACTAGCAAGGCACTTACTGGTGTCTGAGACAACAAACTGGTTCTGCTCTGGGAGTGTGTGAGCTTGTAATGCCACGGTGAAGGAGCAAGAGGTGGAGATTTAGAGCAAGTGCTGAATGCCTTCTTGGTTTCCCTCATAAATTCATACCTGGCTAATGTGCCAAAGCCTACCTTGCTGCTATTGTCTTCCTGCTGTATCTCTCAAGGCAGCCCAGGGATGTTGGTGTTTGCTGCCAAGGTGCCTCTGGTTTGCTGTGTAAATACATTCCTTACATCTCTGGGGATGTATCTCTTTAAGAGCTTGGTTTTCTTTGGGTTAGCAAAGCAAGTAATGGGAGTAGCTGTGTCCTGCTGAGACTTTGAGGGGAATGGAGAGAGATAGAAAGCAATTATTCAAGTTAGAATGTGTGCAGAGCACTTTTATTATTGTTATTTATTGTTTTATGGTCACACAAGTTGTGCTGCGCTTCAGAGGAGGCAAAGCAAGCCATTGGCACAGCCTGTGTAAATCACCATGGCTCCATGATGCCGCTGGATTTACACCAGCTTGCTTTTGCTACATCATGGCCCTTGGTTTCAGCCTCGAAAGATTGCCATGTGCAATTTAAATGTGAAAAATTGGGGCAGCAGGCATGATGAGCAACAAAGAGGGGATGGGAAGGAAGCAACCAGGCTTGCTGCCTGATGCAAGAGGAGATGCTGCGTGGGTGGGCAGAGCAAAGAGGTAATAGCCTCTCTCTCTTTTTTTTTTTTTTTTTTTTTTTTTTTTAATCCGAAAAGCTTTGGTAAACACCTTGAGAGTATTCTGACTAACGTTTGCACTGGGAGAAGGAAATGCACTGGGAAGCAGGGCCTGTTTTGAAAGCTTTGAGGTAAAAATAACTTAAAAATTCCTGTTTGCATCAAAATAAGGTGGGTCTTTTCTCCTCTGCTAGCTTCATGGCTAGGTGTTTCATGTTATTTATGTTAAGGATAGGCTATTTAGTAGGCAAAAAAACCTTTTGGGTTTTTTTTTAAGTTTTATTTTTTCCAGCAGCCCTGTTGCAAGATGTTGCCCCTGTATCTCATCGTGCTGCTTTTCACAAATGGCAGCTGCTGCAGTGCCTTGCAGGTTCAACGCAAGACTATGGACCTGTTGGACCCAACTACCCATGGGTTTGGCCATGCTTTAGCAATGAGCATTGGGCAGTCAAAGTGCACTGTTTTCCTTTCCTGCTCACCCTGCCCGCACCGACAAAAAAGGGCTCTGAGGGCGTGGGTGTTGCCAGGAGCAGCGGTGGGAGATTTAAACGGCCCCTAGGGAGAGCGCCGAACAGGACGGGCAAACAGGGCCTGGTGCGGGCAGGGTGAGCAGGAGGGGCTCTGCAGCCCGCTTGTAGGTCTACAGCCCAGGGAAGTGCTTTTGGCCTCTGGCGAAAGGGTGGGCACTTGCCTTGGAGCTAAAACCCCTGTTCCTACAGAGAAAGCCCCTGAGACACCTGTTGCATCCACCCAGATGGAGCTGGCAAGAAAGGAAACATCAGTACAGGAGGTGGGTTGCAGCAAGTGCCCAAACCCTTCTCCCAATGAAAAGGTAAGTACCTGTACAAGGTGCGCACAGGTTGATGACCTGTTACATCAGGTGGCTGAACTGCAGGAAAGTGTTAAAAGGCTCTGCAGTATTAGAAGAGCTGAGACAGAGCTAGACAGGTGATTTCAGAGCCATACTCCTGTGGCGGACACCACCGAGAGGAGGCATCTTGGACCCTGGTGACTCACAAAAGCAGGACTCCACTTCAGCCTGCACCCTCCACCACCTCAAGCAGAAACAGATATGAAGTCTTAATGGCTGAGGACACCTGTGAGCAAGCTCTGCAAAGTCCCCTGCAAGGAGAAACTGTATCTGCAACACACGGCGGGCACCATAAAAAGAAGTGACAGGTGCTTGTAGTGGGTGACTCTCAGTTGAAGGGTACCAAGGCATCCATCTGCCAAACTGATAGGGAGTCACGAGAGGTATGCTGCCTTCCGGGAGCTAAGGTTCGAGATGTGGCCAAGAGAGTGCCACAACTTGTCAAGAGAATGGACTACTATCCATTACTACTATTTCATGTAGGCACAAATGACACAGAAAGCAGAAACCTGCGTAAAACCAAGGAAGACTTTGGAGCCCTGGGCGAGCAAGTGAAAAACATTGGTTTTCTATCTTTTCTTCTATTTTGCCAGTTTGAGGGAAGGGGGCAGCCAGAAATGGGCGCATAATGTGTATCAACTTGTGGCTACATAGCTAGTGCCATCGTGAGGGTTTTGGCTTCTATGACAATGGGGCATTCTTCAATGACTATAACCTGTTAGGGAGGGTTGGGATCCACCTCTCTAGATGAGGGAAAGTTAGGCAGTAAGCTGGCCAAATTGGTAGGGAGGGCTTTAAACTAAAGGGTGGGGTCCACAGTCGGAACACTCAGGCTGTTGCATCCAATGAGGGAATAAGTGTGACCAATCAGAGCAGCAACAAATGTGCCTTAGCTGCCTCCCAATTTAAGAACCAGAAGACCAACTGCCTTAAAGGTGGACATGGCTGTGGCAGATCCTCTTTCACCCCTCCAGGGAAACCTATGTGCTGAATTGCCTCACTGAAATGCCTTTACACCAATGCACACAGCATGGGGAATAAGCAGGAAGAGCTAGAGTTCTGTGAACTAGAGTTCTATATGTGGTCGCGGGGCCATAATCTCATCGCAGTTACAGAGACATGGTGGGACAACACACATGACTGGAATGCTGCCATTGATGGCTATGTACTTTTCAGGAAAGACAGGCCTACGAGGCAAGGCGGTGGAGTTGTTCTTTATGTGAAAGAACAACTGGAATGTATAGAGCTCTGCCTGGGGGTGGATGAAGAACAAGTTAAGACCTTATGGGTAAAAATTAAGGGATAGGCCAACATGGGTGACACTGTGGTGGGTGTTTACTACAGGCACCCAACCAGGAAGATGAAGTAGATGAGGCCTTCTACAGACAGCTAAAAGTAACCTCACAATCACAGGCCTTGGTTCTCCTGGGGGACTTCAGCTATCCTGATATCAGCTGGAAGGACCACACAGCAAGGTGTGCACAGTCCAGGAGACTCCTGTAGAACATTGATGATAACTTTTTGATGCAGGTAGTGGAGGAGCCAATGAGAGGAGGAGTGCTACTGGACCTTGTGTTGACAAATAAAGAACTGGCTGAGGATGTGAAGGTAGGGGGCAGCCATGGCTGCAGTGACCGTGAGGTGGTGGAGTTCCAGATTCTGCATGGTGGAAGCAGATCAATAAATAGGACCACAACATTGGACTTCAGGAGAGCTAACTTTGGCCTCTTCAGGGTCCTACTTGGAAGAATTCCATGGGTTAAGGCT